GACCCCTAACCCTAGCCCCCTGTTCCACCTACCCGCCACCCCCCGCGGTAATTTCCATAAGCCCGTTTATTTGAGTGCTGCGCCGCGGTTCTCCCGGGCTTCCGCGGCCCCTGCGGCCCCGGGCCTCCACGGGAGCGCACGGGCTGGGGCGGGGCCAGGGGCGCCGGGCGCGTAGCCCCGCCCCGGGGCGGGGCCTCACCTGCGCGGCCAGGTAGGCAGCTAGGAAACGCGGGCCTGGCCCTGGAGGCTTGGGCGCGCGCAGCCAGCCCCGGCCTCGCCAGGGACCATAGGAGCCGCGCGGGAGGCCGCGCGTGGGGCCGGGCCCGCTCACCATGGCGGAGCGACGCTTCTCCAAGTTCCTGCGCAAACTCTGCTCCCGCGAGGGCCACCAGTACGAGCCGCTGGAGAGGGGCGAGTGGGACGCCCTGGTGAGTCAGGGCGCGGGGGCCTGACCTCCGACTCTAGCCCACCCCCTGGGCCCCCGGGCGCGCCGGACCGTGTCCCCATCCCTCGCCCTCCCTGTCTCTAGAAGAGACGCCTTCAGAGTCCTGGAAGCTTTGCTCTCCTCTCTTCCTCCAGGCGGGACACCCAATAATTGCCAGAGCCCAGTTTGTGCACGGAAACTGAGGCCTGAGAAAGGCAGAGTAGACCCCCAAAGCGCCACATAGCTATTACAGACGCCATAGCTGGGAAAGCCCCCTCTCCCCTCCCCAGGTACGTCTGGTTCCAAAGAATTTGAACGCGGGGGCGGGGGGGAATTTAACCTCCTTGCTGGAGAAAGACAAGGCTGTCTACTCCAGTGGGGGAGCTAGTCCTGGAAACCCACAAGGGCAGTTCCACCCTGACCTCTAGGGTCGCTGTGAGTCACAGGCCAGTCGAAGGCAGGGAGTGTGTTTGGGGGTTTTGTAGGGTGCTAGAGGGGTTTTTAAAAGTCCCTTCCTCCGAAAAACTCAAGCAAAGCTCGTTGCTCAAAAGTTGCAGCAGGACTAGTAGCAGTTTCCTGTTTGAGTCTTTCGGGAACCAGTCTGCCTGTGGGGACCAGCTGACCTCCAGGAGACCCTTAAAATCCATCACTGGACAGAGGGTCTGGGGTGTATTGGTACCAGGTGCTGTCACAACAGAGGAAATACCGGCCCCCACCCCACCTTCCTTCCAATTGTTCTGGTCAAGCCCAGCTGCAGTCACTGTCAGCCCATCATGGGGAGCCCCTTCCTCTTTTTCTCTGACCCCCCCAACACACACACACGATGACCTTCTCCAGGGACTGGTCTCTCCTGACACCATACACATCCAAAGGACCTGTGACCTAGTCTCACCGTCCTTGCCTCTAAGGAGCCCTCTGGCTGTGTGTCTTCCGGGCAGATCTGTGAGTTCTTCCGGCAGTCCCGGTGCTTCCAATACCCTCCCGGCACCATCATGGAGATGCTCCATTCTTCTTTCCTCGCCCTGACTCCCTGTCCAACTCCCACAGGTGCAGAGGAGGCAACTGGAGAGGCCATGGCTTTGCCAGCAGACCAGGGGCAAAGCTGCCACCTAAAAGTCTCCGGACATTTGAAAGCCTGGGGTGACTGGCGGCCTCCCCTTTCTGCTCTGTTTTGCCCAAGGGTCCCCTTGCAAGAGCTAAGGACAGAGAGAGTGCTGAGGTCTTGCAAAATTCTCTCCTCCTGTTCTCTCTCTCTCAATCACTCATTCAGAACCAAACTGCCAGGCTTTCCCTGGGCATCACCCCTCTGCGCCAGCCTTCTTTTGAATCTAGCAATGGTAAAAATGTGCGCGCCCACACATCTGCCAGCACAGGCCCCACCTTCTTAATTCAGTGACACTGGTGCCCCTGTCCATGTTGGCCACCAGTTTCCACTGTCCTCACTCACCCACCCGCCAGGAGCATTCCACCACCATCAGCACACACTTGCTGCCCTCTCCCCCCACGCCTCTCCTGCGCTTTCTATAGATGTGTGACTTGCTGCATTCGTGAGACCAGACAGGACATGTCCTTCTGTGACAACATGTTCTGCCCAGCACAGTGGTTTCTAGGTCCACCCGTGTTGTGGTGTGCACCAGGACTTCATGTCTCTTTATGTAATATGTCACTGTGTGGTGTATTGGGTTAGGAGTATCGGATTAGGTCTGAGGTCAGCAGTTCAAATCCACTAGCCACTCCATGGGTGAAAGATGAGGCTTTCTGCTCTTGTAAAGAGTTACAGTCTCAGAAACCCACAGGGGCAGGTCTACCCTGTTCTCTTTAAATATATACATATATATATATATATACACACACACAAACATATGACTATATATATATATATATCCATAGTAGTGTTAATACAGGCAAAATTTTCTCATCAATAGATATCACATTAGAAATGTAGATATTTAACCACACTGTTTATCCTTATCACATCTTTAGAATTATGATAATTGAGAGTCATTGATAACTCTCTTTATTTCATGTGTTAATAAACAAACACCTATAGTACTGTCTTCCAAATCTTTACAATCTTCCAATTTCCTTGATTTAAAAAATATTATGAATTGGGAGTTAATACATAGCTCATCCCATAGTTCAATCACATCAAGGAGAATTGTACAGTTGCTACCACAGCTGATTTCCAAGCATTCTTTTTTCTTCCTGGACTCTGTGCTTAGAGGTTCATCTATCCTGGGTTTCATATACTGAAACCCGGAAAAACATAACCCAACTTTCACAAGGGTGACCTCCAATGACATAACACCTCTGAGCTACACCCCAGTATGAACAAACACAGAAAGTGTTTAAACAAAAATCGGGTCCAGCATGCATCAGAGGGGGATCAACTGACGAGGTTTTAACTGTTCAAGTCAGATTTTTGCCTTTGATCTTCTACACTCATTTCTCCAATGCACTGTTTAGTAACGCCTCACTGCCCCCATTCCTCAATTAGGAACAGAGGGAGTTCACCACGGGGCTTATTTCCTACATAGTTCCCACAAATGAATCTTGGACTCCCACGGTCATCCATAGCCTTCTGCAAACCGGACCCTCACATTTAGGTTCTTAAGCTCATTCCTCCTTCCGCTGTGTCTACCCAGTTCTTGTGGGGTTGCTGCCAGGCAGCATCAACTCGATGGCAGTGCGTGTTGAGTGAGCGAGTGCGATGACTACATGTTCACGGCCGAGTAATATTTCATTGTGTGCGCGCACTGCAGGTCTATCTGTCCATCACTTGACAGATATTGTGTTTCTTCCCTCCACCTTTTGGCTGTTGTGAACAATGCCACAATGAATCCAGGCATCCAGATTTCTGCATTCCCACGTTCCCGCCTGCACTTCTGGAGATGCACCTAGGATTGGGGTGCCTGGGTCATATGACAGTTCTGTGTTCTCCTATGACCACTTGACAGGTGAAGGGCAGCCTGAAAGTTAAATTTTCTTTTTTTAATGAAAAAGATCCACCGGAGGAAAAAAAGGCGATTAAACACAGGTTTCTCCCCGTGCGTAGAAGAGAGCTTTGTCATTCAGGACTCTGAAATCAGTGTGCACTTACAGTTCCTGTTACATAAAGGTGTTGGGATGTTCGTGTCGGGACGGAGTGACACCCCCACCCCACCCCACCCCTGTGCCCTCGTGAATGAGCAGCTTGCACTGAACCTCCGTCCTTCCACAGTGCCGTGCGTGGCCCCTCGGTGGGCTAGAGGCGTGGGTGTCTTTGCTGTGTGCTGTGCGTGCCATGAAAGCTGTTTGAGGCTAGTTCACCACTGAGATTCTGTCTTTCCTGCGTCCCTGTCCCCCTTCTTGCTGTCTGTCTTTGATTTCTGCAGCCCAGTGGGTGCCCGCCGGTGGCGCCCTGGTGGCAGAGTGGGTTCTGTGTTGAACTGCTAACCTCAAGGTTGACAGTTCAAAACCACCAGCCGCTCTATGGGACAAAGACCAGGCTTTCTCCTCCCATCAAGAACGACAGTCTTGGAAACTCACAGGGGCAGTTCTACCCTATCCTAAAGGGTCACTGTGAGTCAGAACAGCCTCGGTGGTGGAGGGCGGGGGGCCTGGGGGTGCTTGCCAAGCATCCCTGAGGTGTGGTTGCTGCAGACCAAATTTTGCAGATGGTCCAGATGCTCCTAGTACAGAGGTGAGGCCCTTGCATGGCGAGGCTGGGGAGGTGAGGTGCTCTCAGCAACACCCTAAGAGACTAAGGGTGCCAGTGGTGGCCTGGCAGGCCGCAGTGGTGGTGGTGGGCAGCCAACAGGGAAACAAGTATCCTGTGTCCAAGGTGCCTTATGCAAACACAGGAAGTACAGTGAAGGAGGAGGGAGGGCGGGAGGGAGGAAGGGAAAGGAAGGAGGGTGGCCAGCTGACCAACTGACCAACCAGCCAGCTGCTGGAGCCAAGCAACCTGCTTTCTGGCAGGGCCACCGGCCGCCCAGCCCGCTGGACCCTCTGCTATTAGAGGTGCATCTTCCACGTCCCAAGAAAGCAGCCCTGGGGGAGCAGTGGTGAACCCCTCAGGGGGCCCTGCCACACCATGCGAGAAAGCGGTGGCCATCCGCTTCTGTGAGGAGCACTACCTTGGAAGCCTCTGGGGCAGTTTTATTCTGTCCTGCAGGGTCGCTGGTTCGAGCCCACCAGCTGCTCCTTGAGAGAAAGATAGGACCCGTCTTCTGTCAAGATTTGCATTCTCTGGAATCTTTGGGGACAGTTCTACTCTGCCCCATAGGGCCCCTGAAGGAGTCAGAATTCGCTCATCCGCAGTGCCTGTGTGTGAGCTTATTTTTACCTCTCTCTCCAGAACACTTACACGAGAGGCGCTGCTCACCTGGGGCGGCTCTTCCCTCAGGTGTCACGCCCCCATTTCTGAGCGTGTCTGCTTGCCAAGCCTGCTCCCACGGTGCTCACGGCCTGGCTCAGCCACTGTAGCCACGCTAGTCACACAGTTGGGGGAGTGTCTTGCTGTGACTTCCCTCAAAGTAAGTTCCAAAGTTTTCCCACTTTTATCTTTTAAAAAAAGTCATTTCCACATTTGGGGATGGGGATATACATCATCATGCCCCCCACCCCCAACAAGTTTACGGGTCAGGTCTTCAAAACATGCCAGTGCTCAGTTTCTCAGTATCTACAGTCAACCAGGGTGATCGTGCGTCTGTTCCCAACATGTACTTCTGTAGGCCCCGTAGGAGGTGTGGTGGGTTTTTATCTGAAGAACGAGCTTTTTCAGGAGAAACAGTGGCCCCGGAAGGAGGGCCACTCCTACTGGCCACCAGGCCAGCCTGGGATTGGGGTTGCCCTTCCGCTCCCTTCCCTAGGAGTCAGTGGGCTGGCGGGCTGGATGAGGACACTGGGGCTCGGAGACGCGTGGACAGCATTCAGCACACCCACCGCACTTACTAAGTCAAATGTGACAGCTGCCTTCCGGCAGTGCTCATGACACTGGGGGTAAGGGAGGGTTTCCCCCAA